GTAAAAATTTAATTTTATTTTTTTTTTCGATTTACATTTAATTTTATACTCTTATGCTCTTTAATTTTACAACAAAACACATACATTTTTGTCAAAATTATAATAAATGTGTTACAAAAAAATTAAATGTTAATTTTATTATATTTTAAGTACAAAATTTTTGTTACCTAAAGTGTAGTAACTTGTTAAATCGCTTTTAGTATATATATTTGTAGTAAAAAATATTCATCGCTGAAAGAATTTGTTGGTATCATTTTTGTTATACCGATTTTAATAAAAATGCTTTTATGTGATTATCTTGTAAGTGTTACTTATATTTTTTTTTTGTAATCGGATATTGTCTGGTAAAAAAAAAAAAAAAAAAAAAAAAATGTATTATTTTTTAATATTTATTTTATTATTATTATTATTTTATAATTAATTTCCTCGTTATATTATTATTTATATTAAAATTATTTTTTTTTTGAGGATTAATAGTTAAAAGTTTTAATAATAATAATAATAATGATTTTCTATTGAAATTTTAATAAAATTTTAATAGATTTGATATGTACGATTAATTTCTTTTTCATAAAATGAGAAATTCGAGTAAAAAAAAAGGAAAAGAAATCAATTAGTGCAAGTTAAATTAATTATTATTATTATTAATTACTTAAATGTATTATTAACAAATGTTTAGCTCTAGAATATAATATTAATTAATGTAATTTAGCAGTGTGGAGTTGAAGCACCGATGGGTTGCGTATTGCAAATACTATCGCCTTTGGAAAAATTCAAATTATTTTCACAGGATTCGAAAATTGTAAGGTTAGATGCACATTGTATAAGTTCACCTATTTTAAATATTTCATTTTCTAAAGAATTGTCTTTTAATTTTCTTTCATAAATTGCTTTCATAATATTAGTCAGAGCATCATATTTACTATTGGTGATTTTAGCCGTTTCAAAATTAAATATCTCTTGACACCTGAAAAAATTATTTAATATTCGAATAAATTTAAAAATAATAATGATGAATTAGGAGGGGGAGGTGGGAAAAATGTGGGTGCCATTACCTTTCTTTTAACAAAATGCTTTGTTTTAATAATTCTTTTATTTCCAAAATTTCACCGGCAGTTTTTTCAACAATGTCTTTATTTTTACTCGAATAATTTTCAATGTCTTTTAGGCATAAAATTAATTTTGAATTTTCACCGATTGTTTCAGAATTAAAAAATTTTCCCATTTCTGTTTTATTTATGTTTATTAATTGCATTCGATTAGAAATTTTTTCTAATATTTCAGTAGCTGATTTGAGTAATGTATCCAATTTATTAGTTTTAAACATTTCCAATGCATTTTCACCCACCGTTAGTCTCGAATTACATGCTTTTATTGTTTCTATATACATTTCGATATAAATCTTTTCTTTTATCAAATCTTCACGTTTTCTCAATAAATCTTCATATTCTAATTTTAACGAGACCAAACTTTTTTCAAATTTAATTTCTTTATCTTTATTATTTGTTTGTAAAATTCTATTTTGTAATTTACGCAATAAATATGTACCGTATTCAATTTCGTATTTTTCATAAGCATCATCTTTATTTAATTCATCTTGACTCATGGACGATGAGGGTTTAACACTTCTAAAACTCGAACCTAATGATATTTTACTTTTTCCTGTCGGACCTGAATTATCACTCGCAAAAGTACAAGATTGTAAAATCTTTTCATTTTTTCTAACTTCTTTTTTCATTTTGTTTCGATCTTTAGAAATATTAAAATCAGACATTTTTTTTATACGTATAATGTACTTGTCGTAATGACAAAGTGTTTGTTTACATTGTCGAATACATTTGGCGCCTTTTTTTTTTTAACAAAGCCTCCGTTGTTTTGAAAAACACCGTGTCAACATTTTTTTTTGTAGAAAATAATTTTTTTAAAACATTCAAATTTTAAATAATTCGTTTTAAAAAATGTATTTATTTTTTTTAATTGTTATTTTCAATCCGGAAAATTTTTTTTGTGCTAAATTATTTTCAGCTGTTTGTAATTTGCTGTAAATTTGTTTTGATTATTTACTCTATGACTTAAAGTTGCAGAAGAAAAAAACTTTATTCTCCAGCAGGTAAGTAAGTTTTTAAGTGTTTTAAAATTTATTTAATTAATCATTTATAAAAACTGTTTAAAATAATAAAAAAAAAACTTTTTTAAATTTAAAATTTGTTTTATTAGTTTTAATAATAATTTAATAATTTTTTTTTTTTCGATTCGTTCCATAAAATTAACACGAAAAAATTATTTTTTTTTTTCTCACATATTTTAACTTAATAAAATGGAAGTACATAATAAATTAATTATTTCTTACTGTAATTAATTTTTAATAAATTTTGTTTTCAATAAATTTAGAAAAACGTTTATTATTTGTTTTTTCCAAAAAGGGTAAAATAAAAATAATGGAGAAAAATTTTTTTTTGTAGTTTCAATATGGCTAAAAGAAAAGTACCTGGATTATTAAGAAGAATATTAAATCAAGATGAAAAATTAACTGAAAAATTTTGTTTATTTATGAATAAATTTTTACCCTTTCGTCAATTAAGGGTACATCACAAAGCGTTAGAAATAACTTGTCACGGTGCTGCATGGCTAGCAGGATGGTTGATTTTTATTTACTTAATTAATTCTCCTAAATTATATCAAATGCAAGTTAATTTCTATATAGGTAAGTTCTACCTGTTATTTTTCAAATTTGTTTCTTAAAGTTTTATCTATTTTCATATTTTTTTTTTTTTTTTCTTTAGGGTTAATTTTAGACATCATTTTTGTTGCAATATTGAAAGCATATACTAGACGTAAGAGACCTTCTGGAAATACTCCAGATATGTTTTTAACAATCGGAGTTGATAAATTTTCTTTTCCGTCTGGTCATGCTTCCAGAGTAACATTCATAGCTCTTTTCTTTATGTTTTTATATCCTCTTCCGATATTTTGTTTTCCCCCTCTCATGGCATGGCTTGTTAGTCTCTCCATCTCGAGGATTTTAATGAAAAGACATCACATATTGGATGTTTTGGGTGGAATTCTCTTAGGCATCGTAGAAACATTTATTTTAAGTTTGTTGTGGCTCAGTAAAGAATCAAGTGCTACCATTTTATCATTTATGAATGAAGAAAACCTCGAGGACTAATTAATTAAATTAAAACCGTCTTTAAAGTGTCCTTAAAACGTATTCTTTTTTTCTTAAATATTTTCAATTAAATAATATGAGCTGCTTGAACATTATTAATTTATTAATATATTTACCAAAGAATATAAAAATTAGCTTTCTATTTCCATATTAACTTTCTATCTTAAATCATTTTATAAAAAAAAAAACTCGATTCATTAACCTGTAAGTCAAACGAATAAAATTAATTTTTAAAAAATTATTATTATTATCATTTTATTAATTTATTATTATCCTTTACAATAGATAATATCTGCCTCTGTTTAAAACTTAGAAAAAGAATTATTGAAATATTATTTATTATTTTACGTTTAAAACTTTTATTTTAAAAAAAATTATTGGTTTTTACATTTTGTAAAAAAAAATAAATTGCTACAGCAGCGCCACTCGAAAGAAAAAAAACTTAAAAATGACGTAATAACAAATTAGTTTAAAAAAATAACTGCAGGTGGCATTTCGATCATAACTATAGTTAGTCGTTTAATAATTTTTTAATAAGTTATTTGTTTTAAAAATTATTTATTAATGGTTATTTATTATATTAAAAAAAGGTAAGATATTCTTTATTTTATTAATATCATCATTATATTTCTGTTTAATAATAACGGTTAGGCGAAGAAAAAGAAAAAAATACCGTTTCGGTTTAGACCTTTTTTTTTTTTTTGAAAACGGTCAAAATGGATAACGCCATTTTGAAAAATTCTAAAGAAATTTTTTTT